TTTACTATAGGTATTTTATTTTATGTTAAAAATAAATATTTATTAATTTGTATAGGTACCGATTTTTAATTTCTGAAATAACATTTTTATGTATAATAATCCTAACTATCTTCAACTTCAATCTAATGTGACTTATCCCACAAAGTTTTCCAATTTTACTTTTTATGAAATAACGTCATACAACTTTTGGTTTAGAGGTCAAATTGTTTATTTAATATTTTTAAATAAATATATATTAATATGTCGCAAAATACATTTCACGACAAATACATTTCACGGTTATATTATGACAGTGAGGCGTATTTGTCGCCTCCTGAATAATTTTACGAATGTAGAATTCAACATATTAGAACGTGGGTATCTGACATATTTGGAAATATTCTCAAAAGCTTCCTAGAAGCTCCATAAGAAACCTTCTAAGAACATTCCAAAAACGTATTCTTAAAATTTTCTTAGGATGCTTTTTAGGAAGGTTTTAAGAAGCTTTAAAGAATCTAATTGCATCATTAAAAGGGTATCTATTGAATGTTTTAAAAGTCCCTAAGAACATTCTTAGCAATAAGGGAAGGTTCTAAGAATATTCCATTATTCCGGGTCATATCTTCTTAGAAGATTCTTAAAATCAAATTTTGCTATCGGGGATGTACTTAACTAAACAAAACCCCCTGAAATTGGTTTATTGATATGTTAAATTTTTCCTCCTTATCACGAAATTCTTTGCCTGCCCTTGCAAACTCCCTATTCATACGTATAATATAATTAATTATTATATTTTAATAAAATACGCAAACTTACTAACTAATTTACTATGTCCACCCCAAAAAAGTGCTTAAACAAAACTCCCTGAAATTGTTTTATTTATATGTTTACTTTTGCCATAGTATCACGAAATTTAAAAGGTTTCTGTGTCTACTAGTACAAGATAATATTAATTTTTAATCGTGAGCTTAATAAATTGCTGTTAAAAATATATTAAATTAAAATTATACAATTTTTATAAATTATTAACCCACTGTGCTCTAGCATCCGACCGCATACTAATCTAGGAATGTGTGGCTGAAAATGTGTGGATAACTTCACACGGTCCTGGAATGCTGAACCATTCTCAAGGAGGTCCAAACACATTTTCAAATCATTCTTAAGAATAAAAAAAATTCTATGATAATAAAAAACCCTTAAGTCTTTAACACTCCTAAAACTATAAAAAATTCATTTTAGAATGCTAATACTCCTCCATTTGGAGTTTCCATAGAATATTTTCAAAATTTTATATATGATTTTGTGAGGCATCAGACAACAATTAATTTCAGATTCTTTTACAGCACAGATTCCAAGAAAACAATTTTTAAAATTACATTTGTTTTTCTATTTTGTAACTCACGAGCTTGCTTATGAGATTTCCATAAAATATAAACTAAAGAATCAATATTTAAGCTATCAACATGATCCTATTTTGTTTTCGAGTTTGGAAACAAATTTTTGAAATAATCTTTGGTAGGTAAATCTGTGGGAAATTCGTTTTTAAACTCGAGCAAGAAAATGGGATTATGTTGATGGTTTAAAAATTGATTTAGTATATTTTTTATGGTGTGCTGCCAACTTAAGAAACAGTTTTAAACCTTAATTTTGCCATTATAACAACAAACTAAGAGTTCATATTGATTCATACTTTTTATATTGTTTTTAGTTTTTAATGATACTTTAACCCAGCTAGCAAGGTTACGTCATTAGGACGACATTTTAAGGTCACCTTTCGTCGGCAACGTCACATGACCAATAAAAGACGGGTTTATGACGTCACATTTCCGACGTCATTTAGACGTTTTTATGTTGCGTCTTTCTGACGTTTTCAATAGGTGATTTTATATCACGTAATAAATATATAATAATACGTAGTAGGTATAGATCGTACTACTTAATTTTTGAACACCCTGTAGATAAAATCCCAATTTTTTTGTAGATCAAAACTAATTTTTTTATCAGAAAAAAAAATCCCTATCATCGATGACACGCAAATCCGTCTATGAACAAATAATTATCCTACAGGACAATAAGGAAATACTATTTTAAACAAAATATTTTTTAATTCTTAATTTAGTTTTACAATTTCATTGCTGTCAATACCTATATAGGTATTTATATTATTCCGAATAAAAACACAGACAAAAATTCGTGGAACTTGTGAAGTGTCGATACATGGCGGGAAGTAAAGAACGCCGTTCTCGATACCACCAATCACAGACTGTGATTCACAGTCAGCTGACCACTGTGAGATCAGCTGACTTTAGTGGCAGGCTGCGATTGCTTGATCATTTCTAACCGTCCATGCTTTGCAACGGTGCATTACCGCGGTGGCGTCTATTCTGTTATTCGGTTAAATTAAGTTACTTAATAACTGTTGTGCAAATCTACAATTAAGTGCCCAAGCAGCATTTTTGGTTCCAAAAACCATTGCCAAAGTGGTGATAACTTTAAATTAGTTAAGTATACTAAACAGCTACTTTAATTTTTACTTAAAAGTAATTTTAACTTTTAAATAGCAATATATATTGCTAAATATTTTGTAACAGAAACTTAATTTTTCCTTAAATGGTTACTATAAAGTAATAAACATTTAAGTAAAACTTGGTTGCCCCCAAGAAGACTTTGCAACTTTAAAAAAGGTGTTATAAGTAAAAAAAACTTTCAAGTAAATTTAATTTGTAGCAGTTACTTTCGGTTGCTACCTAAAGATTACATTATAATTATTTTTACTTTGTAGTCCCTTTTCAAGTTAAAATCTCGAAACTGGAACATGAGTTAAAAACTACAAAGTTAATAACTTAAAAGTTATTATTTTAGTATTGGGAACGTTTATGGTACTAACCAAAACAACCGTAAAGTGAAAAAAAAGTAGCGAAAACTACTTCAAAGGAAAATGCTTCTTATCGGCCATTTTTTACTGTACAGTACCACGTGGTAATGTAAATAATAAATTATTTTAATTGTTTGTAAATGGTTGTTTACTTTTTAATAAATAGTAATTTTGTTGGTAATAGTCGGTATTAATAATTAAATAAAAAAATTAATAATAAATATTAAGATTTTTTTATTTTTAAACATTATTAAATAAATAATTTCTGTATACTTAAATATTGATGAAGCGCATTTATTTTACAAAAACTAAATTCATAAGTTCAACAGTAAATTTATAAATTTACCTGCCTAATTAAACATTATATTGTTATTCTGGAAGTTATAAACCACCAGTACATATTTAATAAACGACGACATTGAAAAGCCAAGTCCGTAGTGGTTCCATTTAAAAAAGGAGGGATAGTATAATCTAATATAAGTTTGACAAAGACAGTTAATATAGAAGTAAAAACAAATAAATAAAAGTAATTATAACGCTCTGGCAACGATATTGGAACGTTCTAGTAATAGTAGCAGGGTTTATAGCTAGTGACATATTTGTTACCTTTTTGGAACTCAATAATTGTTCCCCACTTTAGTCTTAACTTAGTAACGAAAGAGTAATATAAAGAGACCGGCGACTGTCGCAAAACACTTTAAAGTTTCTTCAATAGTCCCATATACGTAACAAATACTTAAATTGTTGCTTGGGTGCAGTAACTGCGGATCAATAGGTAGGTTTTACATAATTATTAAATCATTCTTAATTTATTTACCTATATCTATACTAGGTGTTTAAAAGATGTACGCCGTAGTTGAGTTTGCACACGACAAACGTGTTGACGGGGGAATTTCCGCTATCAATACAAAGTGGCCAACTCCTCGCAAAAAAGAAGTTTACTGGCCACCTTATAAACAACAGTGCAAATACGACAAGGCATTAAAAAATGGTGAGCTATCCATAATGTTCGATTTATGGGATAGGTCTACTCTATTAAGTTTGTTATTTAGAATTTATATTTTATTTATTTATTTATATTTTATAATATATGACATTTATAATATTCTCCTTGTTTTATTTATTACAATAAATGACAAATCTTGTACGTCTTTAAGACGTCAGTACTTACGGCATATAGACGTCTTCAAATGAGGTTATTTGTACGTCCTAATATGACGTCAACGGCCTGTGACATTTGCCCGTTTTAAGGACGTGATTTTGACGTGATGTTAAGGGTGAATATGACGTAACTTGTGACCAAAAAATGCCGTGATTATGACGTCACCATGTTTGCTGGGAATTTGTAATAAATTAATAATTTGTCAATTAAAATTCAATGTTTTATTTTTACTACATTGGCACTGCTGAATTTGCTGTCACGACCTACTGTTATTTATTTATCAAACTCTTTAAATACTACCTTTTAAAACAAGTTCTAGAAAGCTAAACACTCCTAACAATGCTTAAACTTTTAAGAATGTCAAGAAACCATTTTAGAATACTCTTAAGAATGTCAAAAACAGAATCTAGATGCTAAAACATTCGTAGAGGGTAGCAAAAACACATATCGGAGTGCTAAAACATATGCACCTTTAAGAATGTAAAAAAAAATATATTTTAGTGTTAAAACACTCTTAAAACGTTTAGAATTTTAAAAACACATTTTAGAAAGATAGACACTCCTAAGAATGCTTACACTTTTAAGAATGTCAAAAACTCATTTTAGAATGGAATAAAAAATTTAGAATGCTAAAACATTCTTAGAGGGTAGCAAAAACACATTTTAGAATGCTAAAACAGGTGCACCCTTGAGAATGTAAAAAAACAGATTTTATAATGCAAAATACTCTTTAAATGTTATAACACATTTTATAATGCTTACACATTCTTAAAAATGTCAACAACACATTTTATAATGAAGTTTTGCATTGAAAAATATAAAATTACTTACCTGTTGGATTATCTTCAGGAGCATTGCAGACCCAAAACTTGCAGCAATCATCATCAGGCAAATGGTCGATCACTGCATGATGAGGGGGGCAGTTTAAATTTGCGGGAGGCAGTGCCGTAACAGGTGGGCAAATATTTTGACATTCCACTTTACCCATCTCACAATAACACCGTTTCTCACACCCTGTTATATTTATGGGTAATTGTTCCCAGTTCTTGAAGTTTTGCCCATCGTACAGGCATGAACCATTGTTTTTGCAACGTACTTCCGAGGGGCAACAATTGGGGGATTTAGGTTTAAAGTTTGGCGGAACTGTTTCCCATACGACGCACTGAGGGTCGAGAATGTCGGTGCCGAAATATGTCGGGCATTCTAACTTGAGGCATTGCATCATTCCGTCTTTTTGGCAAGCACATAAAGATTTACAGTCATCATTGTATTCTTCTCCTATTTCGTATTTTTTGCCTTTGTATTCACAGTGGAGATCATCTTTCAATACCTCCAAAGGTTTTTTTGTTGTTTCTTTAATGATTGTGTCTGTATCTTTAGGACCTAGATCTCTATCTTCAACTTCTATAATGTCTTCTGAATTATCTAGACGTAAGTACTTGGCATTGGTTTTTACAAATAAATATCCTCCTTGTAGCATTTGATAACTCTTCCAATCGTTTTTATCGTCGCTTATATCAATGATGGGAAGATCTTTTTCCTCAATTTTGGGGTCGAATTTAAGCAAAATTGTAGTTGTGTTTATAAATTTAGCGCTTAGTACCTTAATTTTGCTTCTCTCCTCTTCTTTTTCTGGCTCGTGATCGTCCAGAGTAACATCACAAAGGACTTTTTTACAACAAGTATCACTTGGATCGGGGACTTCAACGCATCTATCGAATGTTTTGTTTGCTGGGGCACATCTGAAAAAAATATTAGATGGTTGGATTTGAAATTGGTATATTATAACATTTACCTTGGGTTGCAGTTAAGCTTCCCAACCGGTTCGCATGTGCATAGTTCAGAGCAGTCTTTTTTTATGGTATCACCAATCTGGTAAGTCTTATTATTAAAGGAACATGTTTCAAAAGGCTCTACAGCTAGAAAAAAAATGATTAAATTTTCTTCTTCCAAATAAAAGATCTTAAATACCTGATTCAGTTGTTGTACAAACTAGTGTGGCACAACAAGGGTCGTCAGCTTCTTTGGCAGAGCAAGTGGAATCATCAATTTTTTTGTCTTTTTTTATAAAAGGGCTTGTACACCTGTCGGTACAGTTCATTTTGCCATTTTGGCATTTACATACGGAATCGCAATCATTTTCCAATGTTTCGCCATGTTCGTAGGTCAAACCACCCTTTTCACAAGTTTTTCCTACAAAAAGAAAAAATATCGGCATGTTAAAAAGCATAATATAGTCTGATTTCGTTTTAAAAATTGTAAAAACGTGTGTTTTTAGAGTAATATCAGAAATGTACAGGTACGGATTAATGGTTTTGCAGTTTTTTATAGATTTTATATAAAAAAATATTAAAAAATACGGTTTTTTTATACGACTTTAGAGTATGCTTCGTCTATAAACTCTACTATCTAGATTTACAATTTTTTACTATTTCGTATGGTTTTATTAATATTTTTTTTATATGGATTTAATTTGACAATGTTTTTGCAGTTTTAGGGATTTTATATAAAAAAATATTCCAAAATGCGATTTTTTTCATAGATTAAAAGTCCCCAAATAGTTTTTGATTTTTTTGAATGTTGCCATCTATTACTATTTGTATTTAGTATCTAGTTAAAAAAAAGTAATGATAAATATCCAAACATGATCATAATATAAGTAATCATATGATATGACGATATATATTATATTATAACAGTACCTAATAAGCATTGGTGCACTTCCCTTTTGCAAAAAAATCAAACAAGATAAACAACAACAATTACATTTATCGTTTTGCAATATCAAATCCCACTGTATAGTTTATTAACTCAAATGGGTGTGTCTAAAAATATATAAATAAATATTTATTACGTTGAACCGCATAAACTAAAATTATTACGAAATAATTATATAGAGATATTTATTTCATGATATCTGGATTTCTCGACACAGAGATTCATATCTGAGATGTTTATAGTATTTTTTTAAATTATGGTGTTTAAGGTAAAAAGCTTAGCAAAAGAGGTAAATGGGACGCAGGCCCGTAGCCAGCCGTAGGGCCCGACCGGCCCGGGCCCCCTCCGAAATTCCGTGAACCCTAAAATTTTCCTAAATATGTGAATCATGTTTAAAAAATATGTCTATCGATTACAAGCCATATTTTTTATGACAACTTCACGCTTTACTCTTGTTTGAAATTTCCCGCGCAATTTTTCGTGATCCAATTCGAGATATACCGATCCGAATCAGAACTCACACTCAGTTGCAGTTTCGATAAGCAACTGTTACCGCCAGTAACTTACTGGCGTAAGTTAAATATTGTTTACGAGAATCGAAATTGAAATGAAACGTGCACAAGGCCAAACAAGTATTGTTGGGTTTCTCAAGAAATCAAAAAATAATGAATTGAAAGGTAAGTAATGTGCATTTTGACCTTACGAATAGCCGGAGACATGAAAGGGTTCGCATAACCTCAAAGTTTGAGGCTCAAACGTCAACACTGATTTTTTTCGTAGTTTTTTTAAGTGTTATGCCGGTTTTCCACTAAACGAACAGTTGAGTTTGGGTTTTGTTTGTGTTTTTTAAAACTTGCAAATCAAAAACAAAACTGAAACAAACCCGAAACTCTTGTTTCCATCAAGCAAACTAAGTTTTGTTCGAGTTTTGTTTTTGTTTTCGGTCCTTTTCCACTAGTTGTCGTGATTATGTCAGAACACACTTTTTCAGTATCAACCAACATGTTTAAACGACATATAAAAACGGATGCATGAAAATTAGAACATTTCTTATCGGACGATTTTATTGAAAAACGTACAAACGTATAACGGACAAACGGATACATGAAAATTAAGCTTTAAAATTAATATTAAGGGCTCAAATTTTCAACAATTTTTTTTTGCCATTCTGAATGACATTCTCGATATATTTTTCAAAAAAAAATAGTCAATTTTTTTGGCCCAGTCTAATATATAGGTATATACCTATATGTGAATCTATTAAACTTATCCATCTATAAAATAGTATATTATAGACCAGGCGGAGAAAGCTCATATTATAGCAGAGCACACATTTCACTGCCGAGGCGCCGCGGCGCGCCGCCGAGGCAGTAGATTGTGTGCGAGGTAATTAATAAGCTTTCGCCGCCGTGTTTTATATACTATTTTTTTTTCAAGCTCTAAATTTCGATATTTTTTTGAAATTTTGTAACCTCATTTTTAGGTTAGGTTTAACTGTCAGACGACAAAATGTCACCATTATTGTTCGGCGGTCAATAATAATTTGACTTTTGAACTAGTACAATAATGTAGTTCAAAAGCCAAATTATTATTGACCGCCGAACAATAATGGTGACATTTTGTCGTCTGACAGTTAAACCTAACCTAAAAATGAGGTTGGAAAAATAGTATATTACACTACAAGGGCAGAAAGTGTGAGATTCCTGAGGGCTCTCACACTTTCTACCCGTGTAGTGTATACTATTTTTCTTACTACCTCGGCCGAAAATACAACCCGGCCGAAAATACGGGAAAAAATTAAATGTGTATGTCGAAATTGAAAACAAATTTTGAGGTTATATTAGTGTCGTAATCAGAGTTGCATATGTTGAGTACTAGTGCACACGACTAAAAAATTTTTACTCCCGCTATTATAGAGGGTGCGCGTATAGCTTGACCAATGCATCAAACGTAAACTTTCTGCCGTGGAATCGGGGACGAAACAACGTATTTTCAGTCGAGGTAGTAAGAAAAATATGTTTCTTACTTACCTACCAATTTAGTATGAAATTCGTATCCAGACTAACAAAATAAAATAAAAGTTGAAAACAAAAAACACAACACGACCGTTTAAACGGTCTTGAAACACGAGTCTGTTTAGTGGAATTCCGAGTTTCAAAACACGTCGAAACCTTTTGATGTTACCGCTTTCGAGCGGGACTCGAAAAACAAAACTCAAACTGTCGCAAAACACGCTAGTCTTCAAAAAGTTTGCAAAAAGATGCAGTTTTGTTTTATTCGACACGAGTTTGTGTTTTGTTTTTGTTTTGTCCGTTTGGTGGAAAACCGGCATTACAAATGAATATGTGTACAGCTTCAATCCAACAATCAAATATCTATTAACAGTTTTGGCAACTCTTCCGGTCATAACGGCAAGTGTGGAAAGGTCATTTTCGACAATGAAAAGAATCAAGACTTACTTACGTAACTCAACGGGCAACGAAAGACTTAGTGCACTCGCCGTACTGTCAATTCATGGAAACTTAGGTATTGATCCGAATGAGGTTCTTGAGATTATGGCAGCAATAAATCGCGAAGGTTAAAATTTTAAATTTTTTCTACTGAAATTGACGCTTTTGTTTGACAATTGATGTGTATGTGCGTGACTGACAATTAAAATACAGTGATGATATTAATAACAATAAATCAGTTTTTTACTGATGAGTCCAACTTTAATAACAAATATCCATCAACCATTTCCGCCCCCCTTCCACCCAAAAAATTATTACTACGTTTTAGGCCCCCCAAACCAAATTTCTGGCTACGGGTCTGATGGGACGAGAAACCCGGACGCTAAGGTAAATAAATTTGCCTGCAATTTGGAAAATCTGGTGTCCAGATAAAGTAAGATAACGTCAAAGGAAAATAAAAGTAAATAAAAGCAAAGTCAACTAAACGTAGAACGATGCAGATTTAAGTTAATTGATCATTAGTTATTTTGCACTACTACGTTTACGGCCATTTCAAGCGCGCGAAACGCATGAATTACAAAACTGTTTTTATAAAAAAAATTTAGATTATTTATTATATAATATTTTGGCATCAAAATTGTAAAAATATTCTTCTTTTATTAGGTTATACATTAAATAAAAAAAAACGCAAGAAATATTTTATGAAAGTAGATATAATTTTAATAATAGAAAGGTGTGGACGGGACAAAAAAAAGATTTATCTTGTCCCGTCCACCCCTCTCAATTATTGAAATTATCTCTACTTTTATAAAATATTTCTTGCGATTTTTTTATTTAATGTATAGCCTAATAATAGAAGAATATATTTGACAATTTTAATGCAAAAATAATATATAATAAATTACCTACAATTTTTTTTACTGTTTAATTTTAAAATTTCGATTCCATTTTTTTATTGTTTAAAACCTAATTTAAGTAGTTGTACATTGTCCCTTTAACTAAAATGTTTAGACCTTCCCTTACAGTGTAAGGCTTACACGATTAGGCATTTTTTGTGGTAATTTTAAAACAAATGTGGGTGTGATACGGGACGGTTTGTTGCTTAAAAGGGAGTATTGACCGTTAACTTTAAACTTTGAATGCTACTTTTTCTTTAGTGCACGTGCCTTGCAGTAGATATTAAAATGCTCCATACCGTGAGGGGTAAATCGTCACTTAGGTTCTCTAGTCGACATCGCAACTTTTATCCCGAACGTTCAGCTAATAGGCGAGATGTTTCCAGTGCGGACCTCGTTAGCCACAGGACAACATTGACGTTGTTAAAAATGTTCTAGCTACACCCAGAACCGCCGAGAGGGGGGGGGCAAAAGGGGTACATTGCCCCAGGCCCTCAACGTCATGGGGCCCCTGGATTTAAAAATAATTCAAAAATTGAAAACAATGAATATGTTCATTAGTCAATTTACTTTTTTTAATAATATAATTTTTATATAAAATAAAATATATTTCTATGAAACCCACAATAACTTATATATAAGTTATTGTGGGTTTCATAGAAATATATTTTATTTTATATAAAAATTATATTATTAAAAAAAGTAAATTTTTTATTTTTATTTTGAACTATAGTTCAAAATAAAAAATTTCCTCCTGTGGGAGAAATAATTAAGTGAAATTATAAAGTGGAATTATTATATTAGGTAAAGTTATAATTAGTTAATTCTGCACCAACAAATGTACTTACGAATTGGATCCTTTGGCAAAACATGAAAATGCAACGATTTAGTTCTTGAATTTTATTTACAATTAAAAACACAATAATTCATCATGATCCTTTAAATAAAATACACACACTAACGTAACTATATAAGCATTTAAGTGTTGAGTTTTTTAATCAATGATATAAAGAATAATCAATCGAAATCGAGTACTAAACCAGTTTTTTAGTTTTTTCCTTGCAACGTAAAACACAAATAACGTGCGCGATTTAGCTGTGCAAAAGAACAAAATTTGTCGAGTAAGACT